GATTGTAGTAATTGTAGTAATTAAGTTTGAATTTACTGTCTTTCAACAGAATATTGAAAAATATTTCACATAAGCAAAGTAAATCAATTCATTTTGGCAATGTAATACAAGACCCGGTGGAACCAGGTGATGCTCCCCGAATAGGTTTTCGGCACAGAAAAAATTACCTCTATGAGTTTTAGAGTTATGTCCCGGCCAAAGGTCAAAGTGCAATTATTCCAAAATTAGGCAAGGCAGAGTAACAGTTGTTTGCACTGTACTTTAACTCAATGAGATCAATCTACCGACAAAGGTTTTTGTAGATACCTCATATAGTTTCACAGTAATATCCAAGACATTGTTGAAAGTGTTAACTTTAAAAGGACAATAACTCCAAAAAATAGGCCAGGCAGAGTTATGGTTCTTTTACATTGCACATCTACCCAATTAGTTCTACCTACCTACAAAGTGTCTTGTTCATATCTCTTAAAGTTTCAGACTTATGTACTGGACACTATATTAAGTGAAAAAATTAACAGACATAAATGAAAGGAAAACAATTCCAAATTAAGACAAAGTGACGGCTCTTTTGCACTGCACGTTTATTTTATATGGCCTATATACCTACAAAGTTTCTTGTTGAAACCTCTTATGGTTTCAGGGCTATGTCCCGGACAAATTTTAAACTGAAAAAAATGAACAAAGGGCAATGACTCAAAAATGAAGCAAGGCAAGTTATGATTCTTTTGCACTGCACTTCTGCTCAATAGGATCTAACTACCTATAAAGTTTTATGTTAATATTTCTTGTAGTATTAGAGTTATGTCATAGACAAAGAAAACAGTTGTAAATTTACAATGCTACCTCTGTTTTGCCATATTGTTGACCGTCTTTCTCTTATGGACTAATATGGGTTGAAGGGTTTCTACCACTGCATTTTTGAATGGCTGAATTTTAAAAGTTTTAAATAAAGAGAGCTAATGAGAACACATTTTCATATGTCAAAATGTTCTATTATGTTCAAGCATAGATACTTTGCATAAAGCATGCCTTGTTGACGTCAACTAAATTGATTTAAATCCTGTGGTCACATTTCCCTGTATCAGGGGTCAAAGAGATAGAAAAACTTATTTTCATGTATGTATTCTTATGTTAAGTTACAAAGCCAAGATCTCAGTTATTTGGCATGTGTCAATACATAGAAGAACCCTTTAATTGTTCCAAAAATCAATCCACTGATATTAAAATGTCTATGTTCAGGGGGTGTGGTAGGTTATGCACAATTTACATGTACAAAGGTTTATAATATATAGGACACATGTGTTAAAATACTTGTCTTCCAACCTGCAACATCAGAGCAAAGATTCTTAGCGTGCATCACCACGTTGTAAAAGCAGAGTTATCAAATTGTACAAAAAATGAACATAAGATAGATATTTTTGTGGGTATTGATGTTTTAAACAAAGGGAGGTAATAATAAAGAAGGAAATTATTTGTAAGCATAGCATTTTAATTTTTAATTAATTTAAGGCATATTGTTAGCTTTAGATATCTGGTATAATACTATCTATATGTTTCTTTGAAAATGTACCATTCAAAAACCAACATTATTGTTGTTTTCAGTCAGTATATAATTATACTCTGTGACAATTGTAGGGAGTTCTTTATGAGCATGACTGGCGACATGTTTGAGGTTTTAAACAGTGAAAGCTGTAGCATATATGATTATTACTATATAATTATTCATTTGGCATGATAATAGTTCTTTGGCATGTTTCAATATAGATCTTAATGTTGATATTTGAAATGAAGCATGTTTTGACTAATGGGTAGCCTCTCTGTTTAAATATAGTTTTGATTACTTTAAATTTTCAGTACTTAAAAACAAATTTGCATTCGGGCGTGGATTGCCACGCCTATGCGTCTTGTCTTTGATCTTTATGTGCATATTTCTAGCAGTAAAATAACCATCAGGATTTCTTCTTTTTGAATTTATATTTAGACGAAATGAAGCTAAAAACCATTGGATGTTTGGACATTTGGACGGACGGACAAAGCGGCGGCTATCGTGAAAAATTTAACATCTGATCAAACCTGGGGTACAGGTAATGGATATTTAGATGAAAAATATTTAAGCCTTGTTTATTGAACTTCAGAAAGAGTTGTATATTTTGATTTTCATTGATCTCAATTTAAGTCAAGTTTTTTTTAATAATTGTCTTAGAAGTGTTAGAGCTATCATTGTTATTTACTTTCTGGCTGTAAAGAGTCATTTCCTAGTGGGTAGTAGTGCCCAGTAATTGTGAGGCAAACTCTTTAGTTTCTGGTAACCCCGGGGCGGTTGGTCATGAATGTGATGCTGGTGGTTCGTTCTTTGTCTGTTGCTGGCAAATATAATATTTACTGTTAGATAAAGGTTGAGTTTTCAAGATAGAGAATATTTCGATTCTCAGAAGTTCCTGGAGTTTTAGAGCCTTCTGCATTGATGTGCACCTAGACATGGCAAAGACTTTGGCTAGCTTTACTGTTACTTGTGAGACATTTATAGGTATCAATGATGATATTCCATTTCTCTTTGCACAATGAACTGAGCTGTATGTTCGTTTCTATAATATTGTCTTTTAAAGGAGACCTATCTTTTTGAAAGTATTGAGGAAATTGCAAATTTAGAACTTATGTTGAGACTTTTTGGTATTTTTCGTAAAATCTTCACATATGCTGGAGCATTCGAAAATTCGAAATATTATTTATACCTGCAAGTACAATGGCAATATCCACTGATTCTAATGTACTTGAACATTTTGTCTGTTCTGTAACAAGATTATTTATGTCATTAACTGTAGGACCACGATTTGACTTGTTTTTTCTTGTTTTTTGTTTTTTTGTTTATGTTTTGGTTTTTGGTTTTATGTTGGCATTGAATGATCAGAAACAATTAGTCCCATATCTTACTGCTTTTCAGCTGATTGGCTGTTTATAACGCTTTTTCTAAGCAAACATATCTCATGTTGAAGCAGAAAAATGTCTGTACTTGACACCATCTTTTGTGTACTTTTTTGTACGGTATAAAATTTACTGAAGTGATGAGGTTTTCAATTTCGTTTAGATTTTGATTTGAGGACAATTAATCACGCTGTGTCTTGTTCCCGTTTTTAATGACAGGTTGATATTTCTAAGTTTGCTTTATTTGTCTTTCAAAGTTAGAATTCTGGCATTTTTGTCATAGTTTTTAGTTATATGATTGGCTGAGAGCTTATTTCTGATATCTGTGTTTGCTGACTGGAGTTTTTAATTTACAGTTTTTAGGTTTTTTCTTGCTGATGATTTTCGTGTTGTTTCTTTTGTTGTAAAACTGCAGTTTTCAATTCTTCTATTGCTGCTTCAAGTTCTTCATACACTGATGATAGTTGTTTTGGTTGTTCTTCAGCATATTCAATGTTTGTGTCATCCTCAAAGTCACACTGTGTTGCTGTGGCGCATTTTATAATGTGGAAGATAAAATCAGTATTTTTTTAAACATCAAATGTTTTGCATGCACCGAATCAAATTTATTTGCCTGATGTAGATCTTCTTCACACTGCTGCTTTGTTTTGTTTCAGATACTTAATTTTTGGCGCTATTTATTTCATAAGGAATAAATTTCATTGTCAAGCAGGATTTCTTTGGCAGACATTACAGTAAGATGAGATGGAGTTTGGCACTGTTTTACTTCTTTTTGTCTGATTTCTATGGTGCATTAGTGTTTTCTATTTTGACTGTCCAATTTTGTGTAGCTTTTATTCAGATTTCTTACCAGTTTCATGAACAAGAGCTAGTTGTCTGTTATTTTCATGGTAACATACTTATTGCCGAAACTCTTTTCTCAGTTATCTTGGCTTTTTTTTTTTAACTCTTAACCAAGTTATAACATCCCGCTGTTTATGGATGGACAAATACAGTGTTTAAAATACCGGTTGATTTTATTTTGAGGTGTAAAATACGGATTTCTAATCGGAGATGGTGTGAGATGAAGTAATGGTGCTGTTTTGAGCCTTTTTCATTGGCTGCTGAGATTGTTGGAGTTTAAGGCAACGGTTGCATATTTCGATCGTTGGTTGCATTATAACATTCAGACTGTTTAAAGTAACATTTTATAGGTTCAAGGATAGTATGCAGCCATACCCTGTATTTAGTTCCCTGGATCACCACTCTCAATGTTTTGTTATATACTGTAATAATAACTTTCTTCTTTAAAACTGTCCTCAGTTTCTGACCCAAATGAAAGTTTATTCTTAATATTATACAGCATTCACCCAATCAATTCCATAAGACTTGAATGGACGCATCATGGATGTAATTGTCATCAACTTTGATAACCCTTGTCTTGAAGATGTGGGCAATCTATTTTAATAGACCTCTATGTGTATGTAAAAAGGAAAATTTGTATGTAACAGACTGTAGAAAACAAAATAAAACAAATGTGTGGGACTATTCGTGAAAAAATGTCATATTAATTTCATTTGCTGTAGAAAATTCGATCATTGATTTGATTAACTTTCTACCATCTCTTTAATTTTGTTTACGTCGGAAGCGATGTCAACGTATTTAATGTCTAAGAGATGCCTCGGCTGAAGCAAAGTAAGTTTTCAGTTCTAAGTGCGCAGGAAGACGTGTTCGTTATATATCTAGGGTGAAAATTAGCAGATTATAGAATTAAATATAACTGTTAAAATCTATTTGATAAGGGCATTTTAGCATTGACATTAATCAAATGTACATGTATCATTTAAAGGATCTCAACGTAAAGTCCTTAAAAACTTATATTAATACGATATTTTATTTCAAACGTTTAGAAAAGTTTTTATTTTGCGTGCTTTTAGTCTTGCATATATCATTTAGCGTATATTGTTTACCATATATCGTTTTGCGTACGTTTGCGTATTTTGTTTTGCAAGAGGTCCATGAAGGTTTTATCCTTAAAATTATCAAAATGACAAAGTTATATCTAGTTACAGGAACAGAAATAAAAAAGTTTTTACAAATTTAGTTACTTCTTCTTTTCAAAATATTTAGCTAAAAACAGACATTCAGTATTGAATATATGTATATATATTAAACTTTACTCTCCTTCAGTTTTTATGGAAAATATTTCTAACAAAAACTTAATGATAAAAAAACAACAGTCAAATTGCATGAAAATCATGGAATCATATGTACTAGCCTATTTTTTTATCGTTTTTAAGAATGATCGTACACAGTTAACCAACAGCTCACAGTTTGTCCTGGATGTTACAAAATCTTCAACAGCTTCTATGAGTGCGCTACTAACAAGATTTTGTACTTCCTTCACCAAACGTTGTTTTTCGGAGTCACTGAGATTTCGTAATACTTTCATCAGTGGGGTATAGTCATCAGCTATTTTCCCGCCTATCAATGCACCTGTAATATATAAAATATCAACTTAACCTTTACAGTATAATTACAGTAGCCCCACACTGAACCTGTAAATATATAAAATATTAACTTAACCTATACATTGTAATAACAGTACCTGATATAGAATACACAATATAGTATATTATTATATGATCTAAATATAGCTGCAATCTCATTGGTCCAAACAGTAGTCAACAGAACTTTTTATAAAATCATATTTACTGGGTGTAGTATCATATTCACTGGCTGAATTGGATTTTCCCAGTCTAAAAATAGATTGAGACTCATATTCAATGATCATACACCGTAGACTGTTAATTACGCGTGTTAATTAAAAAATAATTGTTGCTTTTTTTTCTTTATGGCATATTTCTCGATTAAAATATCAATACTTTACTATCATACTTAAGGGTTACACCGCAATAATGAGTATAAACTTGAATTATTTTTGTATGCGCAGCGTTCGCATAGTCGTTGCACGCCTAACACGTGCGTCTTTCTTCCCGCGCTTCAACGAGGCAAAATTTGTACATGTATAATTATAAGGTTGCACTTTTGTGATTTTTTTAATTTCTTAGCCTATTCATATAATAAAACAATTATTGACTAGTGAACCATTGAATATGATGTGATATTCACCGGCAGAAAGTCATATTGACCGAGGCGATATGTCATCTGCCGTTGAATATCACATCATATTCAATGGCTAACTAGTCAATAATTGTATAATAAAAGAAGACCTGCAAAATATACAATATTGACTGAAAGTATAATGATTAAAGAAGTCTTAAAGCCACCAAGCTGAACCTGTAAAATTTTAACTCACACTATAGTACAATTATAGTATATTTTAACTGATTGTGTAAAATATAAAATGTTTATTAAACCTATAAAGTAAAAATATAGTATTGTGAACTTTTACTAAACTGATAAAATATTCAATATGGCTACTTTCATTATTTTAATACTGAAATTCCTGAAAATTAATAACAGACAAGTTCTTAAGTAAACAAATTCACTGAATTAAGGGTTAATACATTATTTTGTATTTTTCATATTAATTAAGTAAAAAAAAACATATCTTACCAACAACTCCACCCACTACAGCCCCTACTGGTCCAACAAAAATAACACCAATACCAGTACCCGCAGCACCGCATAAAATCTGTTTTGCACGACCTTAAAATATAAAAATAATCTCATGATTTGACCAATCCCGATAATAGAAAATGATTTGACCTGTCATTTAAATAATAGTTAAAACAATAATGCATTGTCAAAAATGCTATGCCACCACACTATTAATAACAGAATTAAATGTTTTCTGTAACTGTGCAATTAAACTTTGCCACAATGCAGTAGTGTCTATTGAATTTGGGGGTCAAGGTCATATTTTAGCATGTCAAATGAAAGACAATGTGCAGATATGTCTAATGTTAAGATACAAAGGCCATCGTGCAATAATTTATTTAAAAATTAAACAATCTTTATTGACAAAAATATGTATTAACTGTTTTACAACCAGTTTTATCTTTTGAAATGCAGATACAGTTATTTTTAAAATATTTTATTTTCAATTAAGCATTTAACCAATTTCTAAAACTATAATAATCATTATATACACGGTGTAAATAATTATGACCTTATAGTGTGCTAAAATTGATTGATTTAATATCCCTATGATCTCACATTTCTCTTGCTAGAGTTAATGACCTCTAATCATTTCAAAAGCATTTCTCCTGTAGAGGTCATACACTCTAGACTTTCTCACAGCTATTGAATCTTTTTACAGAAACATTGCATACAAGCAACATGCATAAAAACATTACAATATAAGTTGTTTCCTTTCACACAAGCAGACTTCTAAGTGTTAACTATATGCACAAAGTGAAAATCATTGACCCCGGGCAGGGCCAATTTGGCTTTAATTTGAACAATCCTGGTAGAGGTCCACTACACATGCCAAATATCTAACCTCTAGCCTTTGTACATTCAGAGAAGATAACGTTTTTAAGTTTTACGATATTCACATAAGGAAAACCTACGGCCCCCGTGTTGGTCCAATTTTTACACTAATGGCAAAATTTAAAAAAACTTTTTAGAGGACCTATAGATGTTATCATACACAAAATATCAAAGCCTAATGGATATTCAGACAAGAAATTATTTAAACGGTTTACTATATTTACAAAGTGAAAATCAATGATCCCCGCGGCAGAGCCAATTTTGACCCCAGGTCTATAATTGGAAAAATCTTGGTACAGGTCCTCTAAACAATGTTTCAAGCCAAATATATAACTATTAACCTTTGTCGATTAAGAGAAGAATACTTCTGAAGTTTTTTGTTATATACAATGTACATATAAGAAATATCTATGACTCCCCCCCCCCCCCCAGTGCGGGTGAAATTTTGACACTAGAGGAAAAATGTGAACAACTTTGGTAGAGGACCTATATATGATATCAGATACCAAATGTCAAGGTTGTAAGCCTTGTACCTTAAAAAGAAAATGAGATTTTTAAAGTTTTAACTATGTATGCACATAATGTATATCAATGACCCCCAGGACGGGGCCAATTTTTACCCCGTGGCTATAATTTGAATAATGTTTGTATAGCCTACCTAAGTAGGTATCGTTCAGATACTTACATATCGAGGACACACACACACGCGCACACACGCACACACACAAGTGAATTGCTATATATGCCTCTGCATCACAGATGATGCGACTTAATTAAGTAGAACAGGGAGAAAATCATGGACAATTTACAGGAAAATGATATATACAAATTTTTCTCCCTTGTATTATGCGCTAAATTATAGATTCTACTGAAGGCGGATTGAATCTCAACACAATGTTCCGTTATATATTTTAATGTTAATCTTTCTTAGTGGAATACCACAAATAATATATAACATATACACAGGTTATCCTTATGTTAACAAATAGATATTAAAAAACAGTAACAAATATTTCTAGTGGAAAGCCACAATGTTATCACTTGGAAATCCAAAATCTAACTATCTAAATTTTTCTACATGTATCTTTACAATATTTCTAAAAAGGATTTCGTTTTAAACTGACCAATAGAATTTTAACATTTTTGTGTCTTAAATAACAAAATGACCAATCAGGTTTCACTACAAAATAAGGTAACATAGCAACATTGAATTTATAACAACAATCATCACCTGTACATTTTATCAGTGATAAGGTTTAACAACTTATTAAGTACAGACAACTTAATTGACTTTATCACCTATATATAATAAAACTTTTAGCACAATTGATTGGACAAAGATGAAAAGCCATATTTAATCTTCATGTTACATAATTAATAATTTGACATCTGTTATTAAAACATATAATATCTGTAACTTAACATATTTGAAATTTCACACATTGTTTTGAAAAATATGACCTTTTTAGAAAATGATGACATTTAAAAATAGAAAATAGCATGCATATTTATTCATTTTTTTTCGTAAAAGAATTTCATTGTTTTTTGGCTGCACAACACTTCTCCCTCCTTTTAGACTATCTCACTCCTGTGAAATGAAGCATTTATATGTATATAACAAAAATAAATATCATTAAAATAGAATATTGTTAACGTAAGATATTCAGTTACAGAAATATATTGTGAATATTAAGCACCAATTTTGCTGAAAAGCATAAGTACCATCCACCTATATATATAAATATCACTGTTTTATTGTAAACAACACACTTTCAATGATGTCTATTTCAGTTGTATTGCCCTCTCTGTCCTTGTTGTCTTCCATGACGATATTGACCTCTTCTCCATTCATGTGGGAACCCAGTTTCGCATGCACTTGAAAGATTTTGATTTCTGTTTCCTCTTTTTCGACATAAATATTTAGTTTTGTCTTTCAACTGAGCAATCTCGTCTCTTAAGTTGTGGTTTTCATTTTTAAGGTCATCTATTTGGTCGTTTTTCCTTGATTCTAGCATCTATATTTCATAAGATTTCTGGTTGTGTTTCAGTCTCAGTTGTTCATAATCGTCATTTAGTTTATAAGTTTGTCCATTTTGTCTAGTTTTGACGAGACAGCCCTTAATTTTTCTTTTAGCGAGTTGTTTTCTTGTAACAATGCTTCTTGAAAATGACATATTTGTGATTTCTTGAGGGAAACATCATTCTGCAGGTTTTCGTTAAAGTTTTTTAGTCTTTGATTTTTCAAAATGAGAGCCACATTTTCTGATTTCAAACCAGTAATGGTTTTATTCATTGAATCGGTCAAAGATTTCAACTTCTGAAATTCTGCTATTGAAACATTACTTACAGAGTTGTTTGTTTGGTTCTTTTTAAAGTAGGCATCATCTTCATTGTAAAATGGTAATGTGCATTCGGCTGTCTTGCGTCTGATGAAAGTTGTCCTGCGTTCTTGATCGCGTAGTTTTGATTGGTTTGACTTTTGACTTACTGCTGGACGTAGACAAATAGGTGCAAAATGTCCAATTCTATTACTTTTGTTGCATTTTGCCATTTTTGCACAACACTTCTCCTGTCTGTTATTATGATAAAGTCTACATTGTCCACATATTTTTTCACTTCTAAATGGTATTCCATATGTGAAAGCCATTGTCGTTTTTCTTGGGGAATTTGAATTCGTAGACTCGCTTGCTAAATTGAGAGGTTGGGAAAGACACTGATTCCCACCAAGTATTATGCGCTAAATTATAGATTCTACTGAAGGTGGATTGAATCTCAACACAATGTCCCGTTTTATATTTTAATGTTAATCTTTTTAAGTGGAATACCACAAATAATATATAACATATACACAGGTTATCCTTATGTTAACAAATAGATATTAAAAAACAGTAACAAGTATTTCTAGTGGAAAGCCACAATGTTATCACTTGGAAATCCAAAATCTAACTATCTAAATTTTTCTACATGTATCTTTACAATATTTCTAAATAGGATTTCGTTTTAAACTGACCAATAGAATTTTAACATTTTTGTGTCTTAAATAACAAAATGATCAATCAGGTTTCACTACAAAATAAGGTAACATAGCAACATAGAATTTATAACAACAATCATCACCTGGACATTTTATCAGTGATAAGGTTTAACAACTTATTAAGTACAGACAACTTAATTGACTTTATCACCTATATATAATAAAACTTTTAGCACAATTGATTGGACAAAGATGAAAAGCCATATTTAATCTTCATGTTACATAATTAATAATTTGACATCTGTTATTAAAACATATAATATCTGTAACTTAACATATTTGAAATTTCACACATTGTTTTGAAAAATATGACCTTTTTAGAAAATGATGACATTTAAAAATAGAAAATAGCATGCATATTTATTCATTTTTTTTCGTAAAAGAATTTCATCGTTTTTTGGCTGCACAACACTTGTTTTATTTATTTCTCACGGTAGGGAATCACGTGACTTTTATGGTAACGCGTACAGACAATATGGCAGCCTAAACACCACGCTTCAAACGTTTTTTTTTTAGGTATTTCTTTGTTATATTCCTTTAATTTATATACGAGACCTGTTGCGGCCTACTCGCAGCAAAGAATCGTTGTCGCCTTTACCTTATTTTCCAACCCTGCGCTTATTGTTTTACAAACACTTAAATATTCAACAGGAATTTTCAATGTTGACAATTATTTTGCGGGTAACATTCTAGCAAAATTTGTATTTTTTTGTTGAGAAATTGATGAAACAACGTCGAGTTAACAAGGAGAAAATGTTAATAAATGTCTTTATTTGAAAATGTAAATATTAGGCATGTTGAATGTTGACTGGTCATTTTCAATTCCAGTCCACGAGGGGAAAATAATTTGGGTAACGGACACGGGTACTTTTATTGTTGATTCCTCCAACGCAATATTTTATGTGCAAGCAATAGCTCTGCTGGTTTTAGCCTAGATATTGATTTAGCAATATCATGCATGATTGATGCATTTATAATATCATAGAATTTTGAATAATATTAAAAACACCACCAAAAGGTCATGGATGGAATTAAGCAGGTAGCAAATTTATACTAAATGAAGTTACGATAAACATGTAGATGAATTAATCGCAACAATTTAAACAAAGTCTCAAATATTAGTAAGTGGTCTTGCATTTCAAATTTAGCACAATTACAGTTGTCATTATTTTCATATTTTGCAGATATGGAATGTTCCTGCTCGAACATCGTTTGTGACAAATGTGGGACACGGACAGGTCTAAATGACCACATAAACAGGCTACTTGGCACAGCACATAAAATCATTTATGTTGTGGTGAAACATTTTACAGCCGAGCAAACTGAAAACGTCACCGGAATGGCGTTTTACTGTTAATATTAAGATTTTAAAGACATTCGAATCATTTATCATTTTATCACATAGTTTGTGAAATAAAATACCCATTCTAATATTCTGTAGGTATTTTCTTTTTTGTTTTAGATATAGAAAACACATTATGTTTTGAAAAATTGCATTGAAATATACAGGGTACAGGCCCAATATTTGCGGAATCGTTTTTCAGGGTCCCTAGTTTCACGTCTAGAATGGTAGAATACTATGTCACCGTTCACCTGCAAAATACTCCCAACCCCGTTACCTGCAAAATACTCCCAACCGGACTGCTTTTTTTGTCGACTCGAAGAAAAATATTTTTTTATTCTTATAAATCGTTAGAATATCAATAAATAATTTAGCGCATCTAAGATTGGCTTGATATATATAATTAAAAACAAACGTGTAACAACTTACAGTCATATTTAAGCCTGAAAAAAGGGATGAATTTTGTTTGGGAGTCTGATAGGGAGAATTTAGAGGACGAGACAAGGCAGTAAAACTTTGAATCTTCTCAAAATTATATCAAGTTCCTCTGTCAATCTTTGATGCGCTACATTATTATTTGATGTTCTCACGAGTCGTCCGATTGCGAGCATTTAACAGGTACGCGATGACGTAGTAATAAAAGGCATATTGATTTGTCGGTCCACTAAAATTTCGTACTCTTTGTTCTATAGTAAATCGGCCAATCGCAACTTTTCGGCCCTCTCCGTCAGTCTTCGGATAAGGAACTCGAACACAATAGTATGAATACACAGAACGAATACGGTATTTCGGTCTAACCTACGCTAAGAAACTAAATATTTAAACAAATAGTAATTTAATGGTGGGTGTTGTTGACAAGTTTATTTCCAATATATCGAGTAAATCCACCTAAAATAAGTGAATTCAAAGAAACAAAAGAAAACAATTCATTATTTATTTATCATGGTTGTTGAAACCGAAAGTACAAAATGCATTCCTATTTTCATTAAGGCGGATTTGTTTAAAATTGTACATCAGCGGGCATTTTTTAATTAAAAAGTGTTTTCAGACATATTTTCAATCAAAATTGTGCCAAAACATACTTTATTTTCCTTTGGATGTCATATACATACATTCGTTTTACATTTACAAACCATGTGGGGTTATTGTAGATAATGGTCGAGGACGTTCCGGTTGGTAAATCTGCTTACTTCTGGATTCCACTGTTTTTTATGAATTATATACTGTCATAATCTGTAATCATCAACACTATCTCAATCAAATGAGGCCCGATTTATAAAATGTTAACCATCTACTTTATTCAGAAAAATCTTCACTCTGTTGTAATACTGTTGAATTTCACCACTGTAGAAACACCTGAGTGCTGGCGGGTAGTACATCTTTAATCATTCCGCCAACAAATGAGGTCCTAGAGGATACATAAAAAACCTACTTTTAGAGTCATCATAGAACACACACAAACTACACAGATACAATAAATACACTTTAATTATGACATACAAAACTAGAGATGACTTAAATTGGACCACTTAAGAATTTAAAAGAATTACTCTCCAGGACAGAAAATAAAAGATGCATTAACGGATAAAATCAGCTAGCTGAGTCTTTTTATAATGGTTGACCCAGGGCGCCATGTATAAATAACTGGCTGCCATTATATTGTTTTCATGTTCACGTAGACACATCTTTATTGTTCAATTAAAATAGCCACTTGAGAATACCTACACACTATGTGTCCAAAAAGTAATTAGTATGTTTATGTAACAAGTTATTTCTAAAATTAGTGTACGTGTTTTTAAAATATTTCTTTTTAATCTAAAGCAAAAAATGTAAACCTAAAGAATATCAGAAGCGGTCTTTATTTTACAAACATAGTGATCGTATCTAGAGGACTCATAATTGAATGTTATTGTATCTATATATTAACAGTTAAACGCCATACCATTAACGTTTCCGATTTGCTCGGCTGTAAAATGTTTTACCACATACATTTTGTAATTTATAAGGTCCTGTGCCGAGTAGCCTGTTTATTGGGTCATTAAGACTTGTCCGTGAATGAAATGTTTTCCCACATTTGTCACAAACAATATTCGAGCTGGAACCTTCCATATCTGCAAAGTAAGTTAATTCATCATGTGAGTATATATTCTGCTTCCTAAATGCGCTTAATTCTAATAAGGGCCTTTTAGCGGTATTTTTATTATTATTCAAAATTCTATGAAAGTGTAAGACTAAATGCATCAATCATAATTTTGCTAAATCAATATGTAGGCTAAAACCAGCAAAGCTATTGCTTGCACATAAAATATTGCTTTGGAGTTATCAACAATAATAGTACCCGTGTCCGTTACCCAAATCATTTCCCCTCGTGGACTAGAATAGATAATGACCAGTCAACATTAAACGTGCCTGATGTCTACATTTTTAAATAAAGACACTGTTATTAACCTTTTCTTCTCGCTAACTCGACGTAGTTTCATCAATTTTTCAAAAATAAAAAAAAAATTGCGCGAATTTTACCCGCAAAATAATTGTCAACATTGAAAATTCCTGTTGAATTTTTGAGTGTTTGTAAAAAGCAATAAGCACAAGGATGGAAAATAAGGTAAAGCAAACAACAATTCTTTATTCCGCGTAGGCTCCAACAGGTCTCATATGTAAGTTAAAGGAATATAACAAAGAATTACCTGAATAACACGTTCGAAGCGAGGTGTTTAAGCCGCCATATTGTCTGTACGCGTTACCATAAAAGTCACGTGATTCTCTACCGTGGCTATCATTATATAACGTAGCTTGTGTCTTACCTAACGTAGATCAACTTGAAGGAAAACAATTAAACTTCAAAATATATATGCTAAAAGACAGCATCAAAACTGAAAAACAGTGTTATGTTAGTGGAAGAATACCAAATTTATTTATTTAGCTCACATTTATTTGGCCTAGATTTAATAAAAATATATATCTATGAAGTATTTAAGAAGCAAAACCCAATGTTTTCAGACTATTGTGACTAGTTAATAGCATTCACATCTATAAATAGAGTAAATCAATAAAACACGGTTTACCAGTACCAGATGAATACATTTTTGTAAGGAACTGTTATAACTTTTGTTCATTTCAAAGGGTTTGTACAGACATCCAATGCAAAAATGCAAACACTTTTTACGTACGATTTGCATTTTTCAAGCATATTGTGTTGCACATACATGTATATCATTTGTAAACAATGATAAAAGTAGCTTTATGTCATAAAACATTGGAAACTTTATTCTTGACTGCTAAATAACATGTGATTTTTTAATAAATATGTATTCATGTAAAGTGCAACTTAAGTATTTTAGTATGACCAGCAAATTTAATCATTATTATTGTTAATTGATTTTGGAATTAAGTTGAATTGTTGATTTTTACAAACATTATATCATTCAATCATCTTTGAGCATATTTGCAGCAAATTAAACAATTTTCAAGAGATAAATTATATTCAAGGACTTTTAAGCACTTTCCTTATGTTCAACCACTTTTTAAGAAAGTGACTCAAATCTTTTAGCATTTTTAAAGACTGTACGAACCCTACTCCAGAGCAGATGTGCAATACAAATGACCGAAGAAAGAACTACTTGATTATTCATGATAAAAGTGTCCAGTATAATCTAGTAATCGAACCTTTGTTGTCCGATTCACATACCAACAGTCTACTAATTGAGCTTAAACCAGAATGTTTATATCATGTGAATAAGGAGATGTTGAGTTTTTGGAAAAAAAGACATAATCATAACATATAACATTTCACAACAAGGGTTTGTCTTGTCACTTTTTACAGGTGAGCTAAGCGTTGTCGGTGGAGCTTGGTAGTAAAACAATAGCCTGGATAATATAAATTTTTCTGTGTTCAAAAACACCCATAATTCTGTTCAAATCCATGTCAGAGTTATTGGCCCAAGATAGTGACCTATTATACTCTCAAATAAGTGTGTGAGGTTCAATCCTTTTGTGTCAGCACCTTTAGAGATACCAACTTGCACACAAACAAACTTAGGCATTAAGTGTCATACCGATGCTGAGCTGAGTACAATAGCTTTCCCTATTCTTCGAATAGTCAGGCTAAAAATGTGACTGGACAATTTTTATTTTTAACTAATATATTAAAATGGTTAAGTCCACTGATGATAAGCAGCCCTCGCTATACTTCTTATAACATAATCATTCTCAAGTTACCCACTACCTATAAATGGAAACAGTGCGTTTTACCTCTAAGTGTTTTCTTGATCTCTGGATTTGTTTCAAAAATTCGTAGCAGACGTTCAAAATATTTCAATGCCAACAATGCTAGCACTGAATAAGCTGGACCATATTCTTCAGTCTGAAATATTAAAAATATTAAAAGTTTGATAATTGTATTAGTATCATATTCTGAAATACGAAATAAAAAACTTCCACTGTGTTTAATTACAAATTTACATAAAGCGGTTAGTTTATATTTACTTGTATACCAAGAGTACTTCAATGTGAAATTTGTGTGTACATTTTATGATTAATTCACAAAAAAATGATGAAATGGTTGATAAGATGTGGTAGATCTGTTCACCAACATCATAAATAAAAATGATTAACACCAGGGTATAGAGTGCTGTCTTGCATCATTTGCGCTTAGAACTGAAAAGTGTGTTGCTTTCTGTCAGTGGACTTTTACTCCATCCAAAATTATTTTTTATTTAGTTCATTGATGTTTGACTGTTGAAGAAGGAAGGGTGACTTCAAACACTCTCGGGTCCAAAATATCCCACATTGTTCAATGGAATTCAGATCTGGCTTTTTCTTTCATGTAATATTTTTAAGTTGATGTTTATCTTTACGCAATCATTATGAAATGCATTATCTCTCAACTTGGTTATTTTAACAACTTACAAACAACAAACATGTGAAAAAGATGAACCTTTAAAGAGATTGGAAAGGTATTTAAATAGCTAGATAACAACTGTCTTTAAATTGAAATTCAACAATTCACGTGATACGTGTGCCGAAAGTTTTTCTATAAAATGGGCCAAAGACAGAAAAGACCGGGTTGCATTTGTATTCCAAATATCGTGAGATTGTGATGTTACGGAAATTTTCTACCACTGATCATTATTGTCGAAAAATTTAACTAAATTGGCTAACAGGATATTGAATACCAGAGTATGGGACTACATGTTAATGCTGTATACCTAATATCAAGAGGCTGTGATAAGCAGTTTATGAGGAAACTGTTACGAATATTTCCTTCAATTGGCCGTTAATTTATGTTGAAAGTTTTACTTAGTTTGCACCAGTTCAACCTGGCCAAAAATGCATATTATCTAAAATAATAATAAAATCACGGATTGTAATTGCAGTTATTTAAGTCCGTCTTAAAATATGATATCAAATTCAATACGTTTACTAGTATTATAAAAAAAAATCCCGGACTCGGTTAATTAAAACAGTTATTCGTGTGAGATTCATCTCAAAGCTTTACATCTATTGATTTCATGATATTTAAATACCTATTAACTGTTTTTTAAATGTGTTTAAACAGTTAGTGCATTACACTTGTGCATTAACTCCTCCCCCATATGCGTTGCAAATATTTTTGTATGATTCTTTTTTTATAGTTGTAGGGATGTGTATTGACAAAGTACATGCGACAATACAGAGGATCAATATGCAAACAGGTTTGCAATACACCGGTAAATGATTGCATAACACTTTATAATTTAGCCATTCAAATATAAAAAAATTCACATTTACAAACTTCTTTAGAATGGGGCATTTATGTAAGTTAGGCGAGTTATACAGACGAATATGACACTATGCCATATTGTATTTAGCGTCATCGTATAAATACTTTTCTACATGTATATTCAATTCATAGAATTAAATATTCTTTGCATTTATTAACTAACGGTACAATAAACATTACGATTATTTCATTTTCGGTATTTTTTTGCGTTGAAGTTGAAGGTAGAGAAACTTCCGGTTGCTAGCTTTACTGTCCGATGTATAACACGTTTCGGATACGCTATAAAATACGCTGATTAGTTCTAAAAGATATATTTTATAAGCCTAAAATAGGGGATTAAAAAGCGGGACCTATTTCTTATCAGAATTTCTCTTTCAGCTACGATTACAATAAGATTACAAATCTTGCGATACAAAGACACGCGATATTCGTTTCAAATTGTACCGAGAGTTCGGACGTTCGTTACAGCCCTAAAAACCACTCACTCTTTCAAAATGCAAATATGAAAAGATATAGTTCAATTCCGTAATTTAACACCTCGGTGCTGGATTTAGGGGAGATTTTTAAAGCATATATTTATCAGGGCATTATTTCTACCAAACAATTATCATATTTTTAATTGACACACTCTTTCAATATTATAACACACACACACACGCACCAACACACACACACACATACACGCTCACCACAAAACACACACACACACACACACACACACACGCACACGCACACGCACGCACAAAAAATGGTTTAACTTCAAATTTCTGTTAATCTGTCGTCATCCATTAAGATCAAAGAGATGGACAGAATATCATTTTAATTAAATGCTCCAATATGAATCCGAATTTGTAAAATACAATGTAGTAAATCTTTTATGTTGAATATTTGCTTTATAGTATTTTAACAATTCTATGCACATGCACTAAAATCATCAAAATGTAAGAAAAACACAATATCTTTTAAGTAATTCAATTTAACCAAAATTCAATTTAGTTTTCATTACAGCTGAAAGATTTGTTTAAACCACGGTCTTAAATAACACAAGAAGCGGTCGAACCGAGCGATGCTCCCCTAATATGTTTTGAACACAGAAAAATATACTTCTTGTAGTTTCATAGTTATGTCCCGGACAAGTGCAATATTTCCAAAACTAGGCAAAGCAAAGCACTGCACTTCTACCCAATGAGATCGAGATCTATCTGCCGGCTTTTTGTTGATACCACTAATACTTTCACAGTAGTGTCCTGGACAATGATCAGTGTAAAACTTGGCAATAACTCGAAAACTAGGCAAAGCAGAGTTTCGGGTCTTTTGCACTGCATATCGTCGCAATTAAATCTATCTACCTACACAGTTTTATGTTGATATCTCTAATAGTATGTCCTGGACAAAGTTCAAAGTGAAACAAGGCGATCGGTTAACCAACATATGTTCCCCGAAGCAGGAGTCAATGGGTCATGTGCAAGGCAAGAACATACAGGAAAAGTCATAAAATTGGCACATTTTATTTTTTTATTTTCAGAAACAAAGTTAATGTTATCCTATATATATATTTATACTCGGGTGGCCATGATTCGTTACCCGAAGCATTTTACAGAGCTAGTTTGTTACACTATATTTCCTTATGATTCAAGCGTTCTATGATAAAGAAAATATGCTTTATTTACTGACATTTGTTGAGACTTTCTGACATACACAGTAAGGGTGTTGACTCTAGGACAGGGACAAATTTGCGACACCCGACGATATATCCTCTATCACTGTGTGCAGTTTAAACAAATTATCTCCAAGGGCTTACAGGTTATGCTCCGGACAAGAGTTTTATAAAAGGGGAGATAATTTACAAAACAAGACAAACAAGAGTTATGGTTCTTTGGCACTGCACTCCGCTTTAATGCCCTCTACCACTGTGTGCAGTTTAAACATATTATCCCCAAAGGCTTTCAGGTTATGCTCCGGACAAGACTTTTCAAAAGGTTGAGATAATTAAAAAAACAGGGCAAACTAGATATAGTTCTTCGGCTCTATGCTTTGCCTCAATGTCCACTACCACTATGTGCAGTTTAAACAAATTATGTCCAAGGGGTATTTAGGTTATGTTCCGGACAAGATTATCCTAAAAGGGGGGATATTTCAAAAAATGGGGCAAAATAGAGTTATGGTTCTTAAGAACTGCACCCTGCCTCAATGCCCACTAGCGTTGTGTGCAGTTTAAACATATAATTTCCAAGGGCTGTCAGGCTATGGTCTGGAGAAGATTTTTATTAAAGTGGAGATAATACAAAAACAGGGCAAAAAAGCGTTATGGTTCTTTGGCACTGCACCCGCCTCAATGCCCACAACCACTGTTTGCAGTTTTTAAAAAATATCTCCAAGGGCTTTGCGGTTATGCTCCTGACAAGATGTTTATAAAAGTGGAGATAATACAAAAACGGGCAAAATAGAGTTATGTATATTTGGCATTGCACCCCGTCTCAATGCCCTCTACCACTATGTAAGTTTAAACAAATTATCTCCAAGGGCTTTGCGGTTATGCTCCGGATTTTTATTTATTAAAGGGGAGCTAATTCAAAAAGGGGCAAAGTAAAGTTATTGTTCTTTGATACTGCACCCCGCCTCGATGTCTTCTACCACTGTGTGCAATTTAGACAAATTAAGTTCAAGTGTTTTGAGGTTATGCTCCGTACAAGATTTTTCTAAAAGTGGAAATTATTCTAAACGGGAAAAAATTGAGTTATGGTTCTTGACACTGCACTCTGCCTCAAAGCCCTCTACCACTGTGTGCAGTTTAAACAAATTTTGTCCAGAGGATTTCAAGTTATGCTCCGGACAAGCACGGATGGACAGACGAAGACGGCGAATGCAAAAAAAAACCCAAAATAACTGGGAGACATAAATATGCGAGAACTGTTAGTTGTAACTTGACTCAAATCAAAACAAAATTTATTTATTGTCGGTATGTATATACGTATGTATATACATGTATTATATTTCACAAAAAAGCTATGTCTAATACACAGTTAATACTCAAAGAAGCACATAATGAAAATCTTTGAAAGTGACAGAATAATTATGCAGTTTATCTGCAGTTAAAGAGTTAATATCTTTCTGCAGCGATACACTGAGGTGTAATTAAGGTAAGACCTGGGTAATGGGCAATAACATGAACCTAAAATTGCACATTAAATTATTGTTTTGTATCATTATGTACATCAAAATATAAAATATTTAAAGAATTTACCATGTTGTTTTATAGCTACAAGTGTTGTTGTAAAAACCCTGTTTCAATAATTTAGCGGCAAAATTGTCACTGTCATATTTTGCAAAATATTTGTGTTTTTTTTTCCTAAAAAAAGAACAAAGCAATATGTTTCAGCATGTTTTCTATTCATCTGTATATGTACTGTACCCAAAAACAACAATTCATGAATAATAAAAAGGTTAAAGAAAATATTACCAAAAATGTGAAACGGATTTGGCTCAAAAAGTCGCATTTCAGAATTTTGTTATTTTCCCCTTATTTTTTTCAAAGTTCAAAATTTTTACATGAAAGTGCCTGTCACTATGTAAATTTGGCACCAATTTTTTTCTGGATGTGT